AGCAGCAACCTGGCACCACTAAGAGCCATGGCCAGCAGGAAGCTTCGTGCTGCAATGCCAGCATCCTTCGAGTGCAACCCACACCCAACCAGGCACTGATAACAAGAGTTATTATTTCAGGTTTAATATTAGGAAACATCTCTTCTCAGAAAGAGAAGTAACACACTGGCAAAGCTGCCAAGGGAGGTGGTGGGGTCAGTGTCCCTGGAAGCGTTCAATGAACATGGAGATGTGGCACTGAGGGTCATGGTCAATGGGAGTACTGGTGGTATGACCTTAGTGGTCTTTGCCAACCTTAATGGTTCCATGATTATAACAGAGCCTTATCTCACAGGGGATAAATGTGCAGAAGGAAGCTCAAAACTGAGTCCCACAGCTCGGATAGTGACATTGCAACTCACACATGATGACTTCCAGCAGCAGAACAGCACCACCAGCGGGATCAGTCCTTTATGGGCACTGCCAGGGAGACACAGAGACTGCAGGGCCATCCCACAGCCTGAAGAACACACAGGGGAAAGCTGGGGGCCAAGCACCACTGTGAGGTCCTTACAAAAATCCTGCTTGCCCACTTGGAAAAAGAAATACTCCCAAGCTCAAACCAATGAGGGATGATAAAGAGTAGGAAAGCTGAGAGCAGAGCTCCCCAAAAAGAGGAACAGCAATCCCAAAGCAGCACCAAGCAGAGGAACAGGACAGAAAAACCCCGCAAGGAGGGTGGGAAAAGGGAGAGGTTTGGTGCAGAGAGCTGACGGGAGCCAGCAGTCAAACAGTGAGCTGGGAGCATGAGGCCAACAAGGAGTGTGATTGTCCCAATGGCTGCAGTCAGAGCAGCAGTGCGGGTGTTGGCTGCTGGGGGGCGAGGGAGGGCCCCCACAAAGGGGCAATTCACAGCCAGCCAGGGAGGCTGCAGATGTGTTGCAGCTTCACATTCTCAAGACAAAACGTTTGCTGCAAACAAACTCCTTGGTTAGAAAAGGGGGAAGGGGCAGAAAAACAACAAAACAGCTAAAACATATCCAATAACAAAACTGAAGTTATCAATTCTGCAATTAGAGGAACTGCTCAGCACCCCAAAGGCACTGCAGATGAGCAGGCTGCAGCACATCGAGGCAGCAGAACTGCCCACTGGAAGCCCAGGGGTGGGACAGCAGTTCTGCACTGCTCTGAGCCCCCAAGCCTCCCCCCACCTGCAGACGAGCCTCTGCAAGGCTGCTTCCATCATGCCCTGTTTGCTAAGAAAACAGCTGGTTAAGCCAGCAGAATCACAGAACTGCTTAGCTTGGGAGGGAACTTAAAGGAGTGTGGGCAGCAGAGTGTCCCCAAAAGCTTCAGGCTGCTGAGAGCCTGGGTGCAAGCGGGCAGAAATCCAAAGGGTGATGCAATATGGGAAACAGAGTGCTGGAATTATCCAGGGGCTTACATTAATGCAGACAGAGGGTGATTACAGAAAGCTGTGATTTTCAGGGCCGATGAGCAGGCTTTCATGCAGCACTGTGTTGGCTGTTCCCATGGGGAGGATGAGCCAGGTGCCCCTTAGGTGTCACATAGAATGGTGGGGCCTCTCGAGGGCAGAGCAGAGGGGACAATATCCCCCCTGGTCCCGCTGCCACTTCTCAGTTGATGCTGCCCAGGATGCAGTGGTGTGAGAGTTACAAGCATGCCCTGCTGGCTCATCCTCACCAACACGTTCTACAGATAACACTAGAAATACAAATTCCAAATTGGATGAACAGAGGGGCTCACCCAAGCCAGCCCCTTCTTCCCTAACATTACATTATGCATTCATGTTAATGGCATTAAGTGGGACGCTGCCATGGAGAAGAAATGCATGGCAGCAGCTCAGCTCTGTGCTGGCTTCCTGCCCCCCAGCACCCAGCACTACCTGCAGCAGAGAGACAAGGGCAGCAAGCTCCTGTGTCACATCTGTGAGCGCTGCTCATGTCCCAGCTCGTGCCTCATTACCAAAATAGTCTCAGCCCTGCACTGGATACAGAGGAAATCAAATCCCCCTCAATTATGCAGCAGAGGAAGCAGCAACGTCTCCTATCCAACGCTCACTTTGGATATAGGGTTCTCTATTCCTTAAAAATAGAAACAACAAACGGTTCTGTGAAAATGGCATCTCTTCTCAACGCACAGCTCCAGCTAGCTATGGTCCCATTAAAATTGCTTTTGCATGTGTTTAGTTCAAGAAAACCACTGGGGGAACAGACAGCTTTCATCTGCCCCAGAGCCATCCCCAGCAGCTGGTGTCTGCCCAGCCCCCTGTGCCCACAGCAGCCCCACTGAGCAGCTCAAACTGCAGCCCTGCCCCAGCAGCAGCACGCAGCCATGAGCCCTGGAGCTCCCCAGGCATGGCACAAAACCCACAGCTCCCATTCCTTCAGGAAAGAGGGAGTGCAGGATCCCAGCTCACGCTCAGGTTTTATTTCCAGAAGCAACTCAAGTGTGGCTCATCTTTAAAGCATTTCACAAAAAGAGGTCAAGTTCTTTTTTTTTCTTTTTAATTAATTAACATCACACTACTACATTGCTCCTTTTTGAATGCAAGGAAAGGACTTGGCAGGATCTCAGCATGCCAGCAGTGAGCCCACCAGCCCTGCTCTGACCCTTTGAGGAGAAGTTCTCAGGAACCACTACAAATGCCCACGCTGAACATTTGCCTTCCAGGGCCAGGCTGATGGGGACCTGGGCTGTCAAGATGATGAAGTCCATCCCCAACCCACCCCCACCACCCCCACTGTCCACATACCTCAGTGACACATCTTTATGTTCCATGAACACCTTCAGGGACAGCCTTCCATGGGCAGCCTGTGCCAATACCACTGTGCCACCCTTTTGGAGATTTTCCCTAATATCTAACCTAAACCTCCTCAGCACAACTTGAGGCTGCTATCTCTCATCTAGACAAGCCAGACGGAGCAGATCTTTGTCACTTACAGCAGTTCTGCTGCTGGCTGGGCTGATAGAAGAGCCCAGCATGAGCTGGGTCAGCACCACGGTGAGACAGCGAGCACCACCACCTGAAGTCAGCACTGCTTCTGTGCTGCTCTTCCCTTGAGACCATGGCCTGAGTCAGCTGAAGTCAGAAAGTCAGTACATCCAGAGCCTCAAGACAGCAAGGCTCTGAGTTTGTTACTTTTGTGGAAAGCCAAACCAAAATAACTGCATGCAACTCCACAGGCAACAGCACTGACATCCTCCGAAAGCTTCAGACTGTAGCTCTTGCATTGCACAACCAGCACCCAACAGCCAGAGATGAGATGAACACCAAAGCACGTGCCAACCTCCCCCAGGTGCAAGATCCTGATTCAGACCCATCTCAGCCCCACGAGCAACCTGCACACCCAGCGAGCTCAATGCAGCCATAGCCAGACCCCAGAGATGCCCACATCTCCTCCACCAGCCATACTCCCACCAACGTTTACATACAGTCCAGAGCTGCAAAACCACAGGACAGAGGGTTCAAAATACTTTATGTAATTAAGTCTTAGATACTGGTGCCGCAGAACATGGAGTACTTAAATAATTATGGGAAACGAGGAAACGGCTCACGCACTAATCAACTTCTATATGACCTTGTGGGACAGCTAATTATGCAAAAGTCAGGCCTCATGAGCCCAGGGCTGGGGGCATTCTCCTGCAAGCTGAGTTGTTTATGCTCTTCATTCTGCTGTTCTCTATAAAACACGCTGCCTGCACTGTGCTCTGCAGCCAGCATCCAAAACAGCCATCCCATCAATCCAGGGATGGAAACAGGAATGCGCTGCCTTCCAGAAATGCAGGCAAACCAATCTTCTCTTGACTGTGTGTTTTCATAAGCCAGCAGCATTAGGAAGTGCCTACCCTGTGCATGCAGCCTCGGCTCAGAAGAGCTGCACGTCTCATCAAGCACACCCCGTGCTGTGGTTTTGGTGCAGTGCTTCCACCAGGTAGCAGAGGTTTTTCTTGGTGCACTGACACTTCCTTGGCAGCCATTCTGAAAGCCTGATGGCCACCTTACCGACACACAGAGCAGCAGTTACAGATGTCTCAAAACAGACCTTACCACACTAGCTCACTGTCTCACCTTCACACTCCTCCTTCCTCAGAAGTTTGACGAAGCTATGTTTCCATTATAAGCACAATGGAACAACAGCAGGTACTTACTACATCTCTCCTGCATTCAAGATGAGAGCAGAGAGGTTTTATTTTAGGGCAGCAGGGATGGCTGATTGCCTTTTTAATACGCTCATAGCTTTTGCCTTCTGTGATTTGAAGGCACGTTTGTTTGTGGAAGAAAACCAAAAGTGAATCCCAGAAGAGCTATGAACGTTCAAATATTCCTGAAATATTGTTTGTTAAGTGCTTATCAGATCCATTACACAACAGAGCAGTAAAAACGACACTACGAGGGGGAGCATGCATGGTGGTTTGACAGCTTTACATAACACAGTTGTCCCAAATACACACTAATAAATACCAAAGCACAGCTTAGTCTGTGCAGAGGGGAGAAAGACAGTGTGCACAGACCATTACATCTGCGTATCATTCATCTACAGCAATACCCTAAACTAGGGGTGAACAGGAGAGGCACTGCTCTAGGATTTCACTATGAACCAGTGCCTCCAGGGCTGCTGCCTGCTGCAGGGCTTGGTGCCTCCTGCAATGTCCCTCATTCATGCTACCCAGCCAGGGCCCCAGGAGTAAGGCACATGCATCCTTCCTTCCAGAAGAAGCATCATAAATTCATTTTTACTGGCTCTCTACAATGTCCAGCCACTACCAGGGCTTTAAAGATGGCGTAAGGCTGCATAACCAGATCGAAAGATGTGTGCTGCATGCAACACTGCTTAAAACCCTTTGTGCTTCAATGGGTATAGTCAACAACTTTAAATTATAGAAGAAATAGTATCTGCTAGGGTTTCTGCACGATATGGCGAGCACAGAGCAGCTGCTTTACAGGGAGGTTTTCTAAAGGATCCAGCTGCATGCCTGCATGCTGAGCTATGCCCTACCTGACTGGTTGTTCCTCATGCGGATGGCTTTTGCCTTGGCCAGCTCCAGTGCCGTGACCCAGCGCTGCCTCTCCACTTCTGAGCTGGCCTTCAGGTGGTAAGTCCTGCCCCCGTTGGACAGCACAATGTTGCACGAGTCCTCGGTGTCGATGTGAGCTGTCGACAGGTTGATGGTCCCACGGCACGTGTGGGCCATCTCCGCCTGCGTCCTGCAAGGGAACAGAGCACAGGGAAAGGTAAGGGATGAAAGGTAACGGCCTCAAGTTGTGTCAGGGAGGATCAGGTTAGATATCAGGAAAAATTCCTTCTCTAGAAGTGGTGATGCGTTGGCACAGGATGCCCAGAGAGGTGGTGGGGTCACTGGCCCTGGAGGCGTTCAAGGAACATGGAGATGTGGCACTGAGGGATGTGGTCAGTGGTACCGTGGGGGTGAGCTGGGGTTGTGCTTGATCTTAAGACCAAGGTCTTTTCCAACCTTAATGATTTTATGATTCAGTGATACTAAAACCATCTGCACCCACCTGGGGTGGCCAACATGCTCCCGTGTGCCCCCAGCCACGTACCACTGGTATTTCTCACTGGCATTGCAGCTCTTCTCCCTCCCCATACCACTCCACCTGCAACAGCTCTGCCTCTCTCCATCTTTTCCCTTCAGTCATTCTCCTATGTGCAAGTTAGATAAGATCTTGCATGCAAAGATATTCATTTGTAAAGCAAATGAGCACAGCACAATTCTTCCACAGCTTTTAGAACACCTTTACAGCTGGAAGGACTGCTGCATACTTCAGTGGGCTCACTCAGCTGAGCACAAACAGCAGGAGGCTTTCCTGGGGCTGAACTCACCAACAATCAACGCTCATTTACCTCAGCCCAGCAAAGCAAGGAGAAGCAGGTATGCTGTTACCATCGCACACAAGTGGCAGAACTCGTGGTTAGGACAAACCTTCCTCCAGATCCTTACTCAGGGATCAGGCTTCTCATTCACCCCCCCCACAGCAGGCACAGCCCATGCCTGCCTGCAGCAGCACCTCCAGGATGGATGGGATGGGGCTGAGATGTGGGCCCACGAGAACCTGAATGAGGTTCAACAAGGCCAAGTGTAAGGAGGGTCAGGACAATCCCAGGTATGCATACAGACTGGAAGAACTCCTTGACAACATCCCTGCTGACTGGACGTGCAAAGACTGGATGTGTCAAAGGCTCTTGGGCACGAAGATAAATGCTTAAGTAGACCCAAAAACCAATTCCACACCCACTGCAGCATTTACAGCTGCCTAAAATAGCCTTGCAAGCACTCAGCCCAGGAGTCCCATCATCTCTGCACCAGCCTGCAGTGCCAGCAATGCCAATCCCAGCATAGGGCAGGGAGAGCTGCTGCCAGCTCCTGCCCAGGGCTGCCTGCTCTCAGATGGGGCTGCAGACACCACAACCCCATCCCTCAGCCCATAGGGCTGAGCCAAGCCCCGTCCACAGGAGCAAATCAGAGTGTTTTCTGATTGAAAGATGGGTACAGAACAGCAGGACAAAAGGCTCGTGTAGTTCCAGGTGGCTCTCATCTGAATCATTCCCAGAGTCCTCTTCCCCAGACAGACACCTGTTGGAATTGAGATGTCTCACAATAATTAGATGGATTCCTCTAACATTTCAGCAGAACACTTACTAGGTGGTTGCTCACTGAATTGCAGGAGGAATAACAGGAATTGATAGGAATTTCTTTCAACAGGAATGGCTCCTTTATTTCCCCCCAGGCCAGTGGCACCATCCTTCCTCAGGAAAGCCCCAGTTCTGGCAGCTTCAACTCCTGAAGACAGTGGCATGGCAGAAATACTCAGGGGTTTCACTTACCAGGAGGTACTAAAGAGCATCACACAGCTGTTGATGAAGGAAAACCATTGTGAGAGATGGCAAAGCACAATGCAAGGCAAGGGCAGTGCTCCTCAAGCTTGAACGCTTGAAAAGAACCAGGCACAACCTTCCTAGAAGGGATGGATCATCCTCACCTGATTTCAGGCACCCAGCTGTGCAGATGGCTTTGCTGCTCCCTACAGGGCAATGCCACATCTCTTCTATCACTGACCCTCCATGTGCAGAATGCTGTCTCCATCCAGCTTCACACTGTCAAAATTTCCATTTATTCCTCTCTCCCACACTCACAAGCTCCCTCCACCCGCATCAGCAGCCATCGTTCTCCTGCCCAGCCCCTCTCATCCCCGGGTCACCACTGGCTCCACCATAGATGAGGTGAAGTGACTGCTGGCCACAACATCTCAACCACTTCAGTCACATCTCTGAAGCTGGGAGCAGAATAAACCATCAACTGCTGTGCAGCAGAAATGCTCCCAGAGGCACACAATCCTGCTCATACCAACAGCAGGATGGGCACAAGGCATCCCTACCAGGGCCAGGAGCATCTCACCTCTTCCCAGATGGTTCAAAGTAGTTTTCCAACTGCTTCCTTCTCTGCAAACTTCAGCATGGCTGTAATAACAACACATCACCAAGGCAGGGGTGCGTGGAGCTGCATCCCAACCTGGTACACAGACAGGATCAGTAAGAGCCACCCTGCATCACAAGCAACAGCATCCCCAGGGCTTTCCTCACCTACTCAGCCCTGGCACTGCTTTGCAGGCTCCACGTGCAGACAGAAGCCTTGCAGGAAGGAAAGCCCCCTGGCACCTCCTCAGTGTGAAGTTCAAACCCAGAGATGCAGTGTGGCAACGTTTGTCTGCAGGAGGGGTGCTCTGGCTCAAAACAAAGCCAAGCACTGAAATTCATTGCCGGAGTCATTCACCTCGTGATGCAGCATGTACTGGCATTCTCCCAGGAGGGATTACTTTTCACTTCGAAAAAACAGCTAAAATGATTTTCTCTTACACAGAAAACAAAGGTCTCCAAGGTGACTTCACTAAATTAAGTCCCATAACTCAGCCCTGCCCTCCCACCCAAGAAAAGCAATTGGGTATAGGATTCTGTTCTTCAAGCTATCTCACCTCTCAGCACCAATCTGCACGGGAAATCAATTGCCATCACTCAGCACCCACACACGAGGCAGGCACCTGACCCAGCTCCCAGCCAACAAGCCATTTCCTCTGTCCGCATGCAGAAAATACGAGGTGCCCTTCAGAAGCACTCGTGTTCAGCTGGATCTGCTTATTCACCGCCAGCAGCTCAACTATTGCATAACGTGATCCGGGGCAGATTTTGTGATTCTTCACTTTCTGCAATAATCCGAGAGCTGCACATATGGGAAAACACGTGGGCAGGCTGCAAGGGGCCAAACTGGGGTTCAGCACAAGCAGAGGTGGATGCTGCTGGGATCTTCTGCTGCTCAGAACAAAGCTCTTATTGAATTCAGGGATGTAAAATCATAGCTGTGCACGACGTGCAAGGCATATGGCAGACAACCAGAGAAGCTGTTAAGGTTACTTTAATACCACAGATCTAAATACACAGAGCTTAACGAGACAACTCTGCACTTTTGGCTACGCAGAGAGATCTCCCATGTAAAACACCTGCAGTCTCATTCTTAGCATCTCTCATCTCACAACCTGGCAGATGAGGTAAAACAGAAAAGAGCAAATTGTGATGTAAAGGCCTCCTTGCTCGTTCTGGAGGAACACCTGAGCCACATCCAGTGCTCCAGAGTTACACAAGAGAAAGATGCTCTCACTTTGCAATGACTGAATTTCACTGCTGCATAATAAGAGCTCAGATTTAGCAACAGAGTAAAGGCCAAAGGAAAAAAAAAAAGGATTAAGTTTTTCCACCTAGTAGCTCTGCAGCTTCGGTTTGGTGACATCACAGCTTTATACGTGGCAGCCAAAGTTTCTGCTTTAATGCTGGCAAGATGCTGCTGTGCTCCGTGACTTCAACAGTGCAGCTCTGCAGGGTGTTAATAGGAGGCAGCAAGCAGTGCAAGCACCGGGTCACGCTCTGCCCCCAGGTACTCCTTGCTTACAGCAAGCAAGGATGATGGATGCTTGGGGCTAAGCTGCTCTGTGCTGGGGCCATCGCTGCTGCCCTCTGAAAATTCAGCCTCTTGAAACCGTGCAAGCCACCCTAGTTTAGGAAGGAGTGCCTACACTGCATGTGCATCCCAAGAAGCTACAGAGAGAATATCAGGGAACATCCCAACTGGAAGGGGCTCCTGCAGCAGTATGTATGAGACATTGCCTTGCTGGTTCCCTCCCCTGAGCAGAGCTGAGCACCACCTCACCCCTTGCAGCTCGGTTTCTCCTTTCCCCCAGCAGCACACACACCATCCCAGTGAGCACAGGCTCAGGGTGAGCTTCTGAACTGCTGTGGCTGCAAATGTATTTTGGTGCAGCTGAGCTCAGTGGGTACAGCACACGTAGGGACCTCATTATGTTACATTCAGCTTCACGCTGGCGAGTTAGTTCTTTAAACTGGGTTATCCACAGCAAGACACTACACAAACACTGAGCTGAGACTTTTTCCCTATGCTGAAAGGGTCACTACTGCCTGCTCCTGTGTTCCTGGCACCACTCTATCACTAAGCATCACCACAGACAGACCCAAACACAAGTTAAGGTACACCCATGGCAATGACCTCTGCAATATGCTCACCCTGTCCTCCGAGAGATATCACCTCTATGAGATCAAAACCATTTACCTGCTGTAAGCCTGAACAACCAACAGCCCCACATCCCAAACGCTGCATCCCCTTTCCATCACTCTCACAGCATTCAGGTGATTCCAAGGCAGAGAACAGACTGTCACAGATCAGCATCACCCATCGATGAACTGGAGCCTACCTCTTGGTTCCTCAGTATTTAACCCACACAGCCTCTGTTTTTTTTCAGCGTGCAGATGTGCTGGGCTCAACTATTTCTCCCATTGGGACAGAATGCTGCAGAAGAAATGCAGTTAGCACAGCATGGCTGCTGCAGGACTCCCTCCCTCAGCCTGCAGGAGAGCTTTTGGCAGATGGCTGAGGTCACACTGAGATTAGCAGCTCCGGAATATTGCCCACACCCATCAGCTTTTGAAAGCAGAAAATGAAAGCAATGCAACTCTTCCATAGGGAGCCATGTGACATGGCACATACTTGGAAAGAACTTCCCAAGTAGAAGGAATTGAAGAGCATGTCACTGAGCATGGTTCTGTTAGCAGCCACGGATCAGATCAGGGCTTACCAAGCTGAGCCTCGGCCAAGCCTTCTGCTGGCACTTTTGGTGCATTTCCCCTG